ATGCCTAGGCTAGCCCAATATCTCTACCTAGGCTAGGCCTAGGCTAGCCCGATATCTCTAGGCTAGGCCTAGGCCGTCGCCTACTCTGGGCGTCAGGCGGCAAACCTCGAGTTCACTTCACTAGAGCGTTTGTCATGCATACAATTGCCGTGTTCGATTGGGACTATACGTTGAGTATGTTATCCCGTTGAGTACAAAACTCAACGATAAATTCCGAGCGTTAACTTCGTTGAGCAGTTTCCGTTGAGCAGAGCACGAAAGTCCCAATCGAATACGTTATACTCCCGTTATACTGGCCCTCTATGTCAGATTGTATGGAATAGTTTCATGTGAAGACGTCTGAGACGTAACATCGGGAACATTCCGATTGTATACAGTAACAATGATAAATAAATAAACCGTATACAGCTTCTAATCTTGTGTGATGTCTTTTTATATGTTGAACAAAACTAGACGGGAAATGTCAACAAGTCTGTAGAATGGCGGCCATTTTGAAAAATAAAAAATAAAAAAGGCCTCTTCCTCAATTTAAAAAAATAGCCGGACGTGAAACATGTTTTTTTTTACTTGGCCTAATGCAAGAAGAAATATTAATTATACAGTAGTGACAATTCAATCAAAACAGATAAAATATAAAATAGTAAGATCTTTCGAAAATCATTAGAAAAATACAAATTGTTGTGTTAAAATCATTAGGAAAATACAAACTTTAAGCACAGTGATTACTGAAATAATTACCACAAATTGTTGTGTTAAAATCATTAGGAAAATACTAACTTTAAGCACAGTTGAATACCACTGAAATCAGGAAAAATCTACAATGATTATTAACATACGTGCATGTTGTCAAAAGATTTGAATGAATTAAAGGCGTATAATAGGTCACAGTCACAGTGTAATCTATCCTATTTTGAAGGTGATAAAACAGGCCCACCCAACATTTCCCACCCCACTGCACACCCTACTTTCACAATGGTATATTCCAGTTTGAGTGGTTTTCGTCCGGGTGGTTTATGTCCTGGGTGGTTTATGTCCGAATACCGATTTATAATGTTATCCTAATGTGGCTATTTGCAGAAGCTAGTTCTGTATATAGATAGGCTAGTATTATATTTATTAACAAATATTGCTTAAAATGAGTAAATAGTTAACAATAATAACAACTACCTTAAACAACGTATTGTAGATAATCATTATTCAAGTAATTTCATTTCATTTTATTTTATTTAAAATCATTCAATCAATCTCAATCAACTACAAACCAAAAGCAAACAACCATCAAACCAACCGATAACATGTGTACAAAGTAGTTTATTAATTATATAGCAGACTTTTATTGTCATTGTCATCATGATCAACACCATCATCATTAGCATCAACATTATTTTAACTATTAGTGCTATCAAGAACATATATCATTACCATGATTATAATTTGCATCAATATTAATTTTTAACCATAATAATTGTGTTTATCATTCAATTATTGTTCTTTAAGTGAGGGGTGCATTCTGCACAGAGTACTGATCTGCCATTGGGCAGATTTCATCGTCAAATTCTTCTTTGTATCTAAATATAATAAAGTATAAAGTTAACTCTCTTATTTTAACCCATAAATAAGACTCATGAATATAAAATTAGCAAATATAAGCATCTAGTTCCCAGTGCTTAATTAATTTATTTGACGGCCCAAATTTCACGGGCAATAGATATTCTCCAAGTTCAAGCAACTTGTTATACTTTATGGACCTAAGGTAAAATTCTGAGATGCTATTGCCGAAGTCCCATGTTGGCATTTTCAAATTCTCTTCTATTTTTAATTGTATTATGCACAATATTAGGACACTAAATTCATTACAATTTTTGCACCATAAAATTGATTTAATATTTTGCCAAAAGAAGAATTAAGACACTTAATTTTTCACTATTTCTTGCTTATTGATGATCTTTTATTTCTTGCTTGTGTAAAGTCATCACAAAACAAAATTAGTGGACCAATATTTTCACAACATAGTTGGAAAATTAGAGATTGGGATAGCTCGTATCTAATTGATTATTGTTGTAGGTAAAAATAAATACTCCTAGCACTGATATGCATTCAAGTGTTGGTATCTGCTAGGTCATGAGAGTGTCCTTTTATGGAGATTTTGACAAACCACTTGCGATATACCACTGTGAATCTGGCAAAATTTAATGAGCCTTGCAACTTTCTTTCAGAACAATTATAATCGTAATTCAGGTCTCCCTTTAATTAAAAACCACTTTTGAGGCCGGGGTTTTCATGGTCTTTAGGAGCTTTGGTCTCTTATTAGAATAATAAAAAATAAAGAACATTTGTTAATTTGTGACCACACAAAAATGGTTTTTAATTGAAGGGGTCTTTCGTTAGAGGGAGACCTGTATTATATAATTATAATAGTCTGCAATTTCAGCCTCACCGATTTGACCAAAAATATGCAACTTAATAATTAAACTAGATCTTACACATAATCTCTCAGGCTAACCACCAGTACAGTACATCAATGTAGTTCGGCCCACAAAGTCGCTGCATGGAACAGACTACCCGTTTTCTTTCGGAAGTCATCTTCTGTGAGAATTTTCAAAATTTGGTTGAAACCCATCTAGTGTACTGGAGTTCCCTCATTACATTACATAGATATTGCTTGTTACATAATTGAACTTTGAATATGTCTTCTACAAATCTGACAATTGTAGGCCAAAGTAGGCACACTGTGTGCACGTTTCTTTAGTCAAGATTTTTAAGGTATAAAAACGAAAAGAAATTTAATTGATAGCTTGCATGATGTGTCATAATTATAATAAAAAACACACTTGCAATGTGAAATCCATAATTATTCATATTCTTATAGAAGTTGATAAGCCATCCCCGGCTACGGATCCATTCATGGCTATGCATTTGCCTC